CACCACGACATGTGGGTATGGCGGGAAGTCGAACCTGAGACTTTCGGGTCCCAAGCCAGTTGCTCTACCACTACACCACAGCCGCCCCCACACCACAATTCTCACCTACTGTTCTCATAACGGATAAATACGTGTTATAGATATTTCGGACATGTAACTAATCTATATCAATTAACACATAATAGATTAAACATTATAAAAAGGAAAACCTAAAAATATAGTGTTGTGCTTTTAACATCAGTACTAAACTCTAATATTTATAAATTTCTTCAGTGTGATCTCCTTCCRGCACACGCTCCCTCCTCTGTGTGTCGGTGCTTTGCGTACGGGGGTCATAAATGCTGCCACTATGCAGTATGTAGTTATCACCTCTAACAGTCCCTCTCACTGGTCTTGAAGCTAAATTTGGCTCCAGAAGGGAGTTTTTTGTTGAATCTTCCCGTTACAGTTTTTGAAGACTCTTTCGTCGCAGCAAACACAGTGAGTCCAAACTTCTCAGTGTCGATAAAAGCTCATTTCACATGCACACGTGCACGCCCTTGGCTCACGTGCGCTCTGAATGCCTGGCAGACACGCACGTGGCCAGGCAGGTACAGATGTGCACACCATTACACCTGGGGGAGYCTGCTGTTCACTTTCTTTTCCACAGCTTCTTTCCACAGCGTTAACTCCATAATTAGCAGCTCCGCTCTGTTTCCCGATCCCCATGATTAACTCATTATCTGCACATAAAACCACGAAGARGGAGACTTTTCTGATTAGAGACGAAGGTTGTTCCTGCTGTGGACCTGAGGAAACCACAGGTAGAACATCTCACTGGGCCTGAAAAAAAGCAATTACCTTAACTAGTCGAGTCAGAGGAGAAATCAGCGTTGCATCGGCCTTTGACTGTAAACCAGGAAATTACATCCACCAACACACAGAAAGGATTCAGTGGAAACACTAATGAGGACCAAGCAATGGATCCATGACGCTGAGACGGTCCATGACGTCTGCTGTCTGCAGTAWCGTGGAATTTCAGCCAGAACACGTCAGAAAACTAAAGTTCTGAGTCTCATTAAGTTTGTTTTTTATATTTACATAAATGCTCCTGAACGCTTTTTGTTTTAAATACATTTATTGTTAATAAAACAACTGAGGTGAAAATACCACGTCTTCTGGTTCTGCGGAACTGCTGTTGCTCAATGAAGAGAGAAACTCTGAAACAGGCTGGTTGAACAGCAAGAATCTTTATTTTGCAGTCCAGGAGATTACAGCCAAAAACCAAATTGTGGCCTTCAATGCCAAATGATTCACCAAGTAAGAAAGATGGAGAACAAAGGCCAAGAGCAGGGGCGTACAAGGCTCTTTGTAGTGTAGTCCAGATGCACCATAAATTTTATCACGGTATACCTTCTTCCTAATATGGTAATATGTGCCGAGCTCTGAAGCTGGAAACTAAGAGAGGCATAACACATCTGTGCATTCCTGAGAAGAGGCCCCCCCCCACTCTTGGACACTACACAACTAATTTAAGATGTTATGAATCTGCTTTTGTCGTTTTGACAGTGATCTAAAAAACCAGAACTAATGATCATTTATCTGTTTATCTGTAGAGTTAGCAAAATACCTCCATGAACCACTGGGCAGGTTCAACTTTCAGAAAGTAATCTTTAGTTGTATATCCCTAACTTCTGTGGTCAACCTGGTTCAAGATGGCCGCCACAAACTAACTGATCTAAGCAAACACAATCGTCTAGAACTCATATTGAGACCGGTTTTGGGTGTGGCAGCAGCTGAGYGTCCTCMTCAACACGMTTATAATTAGATTAAAGAACAAGCCTGTTGGTTTCCTCCCTGACTGTAAAATAAAAATAAATCKTGAAGTTTAAACAAGTTAAAGTTTCTGACATTTATATCTTTCAAATACAAAAAGTTAAAGAAAACATCTTTGTATCTAAATACCCATTTTGTCACGTTCCTGGTGTATTCTCTTTGAACTTGGCTCAAAGTGAAACAGGAAGTGACATCAAAGGGGAACTATTTAATAAAATAAAACTCTGTTCTTTATTTATTGAAACGTTATTTGAACTCTGACTTTTCTTCATCTCTGACAGAAACTCAAAATGATATAAACATCAGGTTCTTCTCTGCAGTCTTTGTTAGTCGTCATATCAATGCTGTGTTTACATTCAGACATTCCCCTTTGACATCACTTCCTGTTACTTCACATGTGAATATCTCAGCAGAGTGATTGTTTTTGCAGTAACATCATTTGTGTCTTTCCAAAAATGATTTAATGTGTTTAATATCACAAAAACGTGTTACATCTCTTTAAAGTTTATTGTCAGAAGGAAGAAGTTGTTTCGCTGATGTGTTTGCGTGATGAAAGTTGTGT